CAGGATGACTGACTGACAGTGTTTAGGTGGGGGGGTCATGCAGGGAACACTGGTAGTTCTCAGGGGTTCTGGTGTGAGCCTAAAGGGGTGCTCCTAGCATCTGGGGTTGGAGACTAAAATAACAGCCAATGCCCTCAGAGCACAGCTTGTCACCCTACGGAGAAGTACCCAGCACCATCATGGACAATCTCATGCTCAGAAGGCCAGCTCTGAGCCTTAAGCAGGGAGGCGCAACCTGATGGACACCCTGAGAAGCATGCTGACTGTGTGCCATGGAGCTGGCTCTGGCTCATAGAACCCAGCAAGGTTACCACCCTTCCCAGCCTGAGACTGGCAGAGAGAGGTGCGCAGGCAGTTCTACAGCTGAGGCCCCAAGAAAGACAGTGGGACTGGCATCTGCCTCACAGCAGTCTCACTAAGTGACTGACAGCAACAAACAGCCAGTGCTGTGCCAGCACTCCTGTGGGGCACTGCAGTGATAGAAAAGGAGGCTGATAGTGGCTTCACCAGCACAAGAGAAATGACAGATCCTGAGACAACTATGGAGCTAATCACTTGCCCCTGGGAACAAAGTCACTTAGTATCACTGAGTGAACAATCTATGGGGGCCACTGTGAACAGATGTATCTTCCCCACAAAAATCACGCCTATATCCTTGGCCCAGTACATGGAGGTGTGACCTCATTTGGAAACAAGGTTACAGGAATCTTGTTCTGTGTTCTGGAACAGAACACCCCAGGGCTGGGGACCTCACCACAATGTGAGTTCCCTTAGCTCATGCCGCCCTCCCCTTTCCCCTCTCCTGGACTTCTATCTTTTCAGTTAAAGGAAGGGCTCTACAGGTTCTGCTTGGCATTTCCAGGTGACCAACAGCGCCACTCTTGCCTCTGGTGCCATTAGCAACGCACACAGAGCACCCACAGCACAACACCCACAAACACAGGAGTTCATGCTCATGGACAAGGCAGAATGGCGAGGAAGCTACCCATGCCACACAGAACAAGCTCATTTAAAACCTACAAACCCCCAGCTATGATGGCACATGCCTTAATAACAGCACTTGGCAGAGGCAGGAGGATCTCTGTGAGTTCAAGGCCAGCCTGGTCTACAGAGTGGGTTCCAGGATAGCCAGCGCTACACAGAGAAACCCTGTCTTGAAAAACCAAAACAAGGGGGGGGGGGTAGAGAGATGGCTCAGAGGTTAAGAGTACTGGCTGCTCTTCCTAAAGGTCCTGAGTTCAATTCCCGGCAACTACATGGTGGTTCATAACCATCTGTAATGAGATCTGGGGCCCTCTCCTGTGTACCTGGTGTGCAGGTGTGCATGCAGGCAGAATACTGTATAAATGATAAATAAATTTTTTTAAAAAGAAAGAAAGAAAAACCAAAACAAACACCATAGACTTTAAAAAAGGTTTTTCAAGATAGAGTTTTTCTTTGTAACTCTGGCTGTCCTGGGACTCATCTGTACAGCAGACAGGTCTCAGCCTCAGAAATCCATCTGTCTGTGCCTCCTGAGTGCTGGGATTAAAGGTGTGTACCACTACTGCTCGGCTTGACAAACAGCTGCTTTGGGGGACTTTTCCATTTCTTATTTTCAGATCACGGCTGACTGTTGGTAACTAAGGCTAAATCTGAGGGAGACTTCTGTATTTGTGGGACGGGCAGCTGATCTGCACAGATGAACTGATACAAGTCAGAGAAGCCTGATCAAAAGGGAACCTAAATTCTTTTCTCTTTTTGAGTCAGGGTCTCACGTAGCCCAGGCTGGCCTCAAGCTCTCTAAGTAGCCAAAGATGACCCTAAATTCCTGATCCTCCTGGCTCCAACTCCCAAGTGCTGAGACAAGAGGTGTGGGCCTCTGTGCTTGGCTTAGAAAACCTATTCTGTTACTCTGTGTTGTTGTTATTGTTGTTTTTAAGTTTTTTGTTTGTTTGTTTTTGTTTTTAGTTTATGCAAGGGCTGGAGAAATGGCTCAGTAGTTAAGAGCACTGTCTGCTCTTCCAAAGGACCTGGGTTCAATTCCCAGCATCCACATAGCAACTCACAACTATCTGTAATGCCAGTTCCAAGGAATCTGACACCTTCACACATAAAATAAAAATATTTTTAAAAAGTTTATGCAACATGGGACCTTCCTATTGGTTGTGGGGAAAAAAGCAGAAACATACCGCCCATGTTGGTGCACAGCTGAGCCTGTGACTTCAGATGATGGCCTGCAATGATCTCAGGTAGAAGAGGGGCCCGGACAGATGAAGCAGGCTAGAACTAACTGCAGACAATCTGCATAGCAGATAGCAGCCCTTCATGAAGGGCGAAGGGAAGGGTGCAGGAAAAGGTAATAGGATAATGGGGACCACCCACCCCAACTCCTTCCTCCAGGGACCCTAAGGATAAAAAAGTCCCCCATATCAGGGTCATGCCCATCCTGGTTTGGCACTCATTGGAGTAGGGGTGAGGGTAACTGTGGTAGACACCCCAGGCCACACCCTTCTGAAGCCTTTCCCATGACTTCTCCACATGACTAAGAATCTGCTAACAGTCCTGCTTGCGGACAATAACAGGGAAGTCTGTGTGATCAGTACAGATCAAACGTGGCTCCCATAGCTTTGCTTTTGCTTTTTGTTTTTAAGATTTCCTATGTATTTGTTTGTTCTGTGTGGCTGCTTGCATGAGTTTATGTGCACTGCTTGTGCAGGAGCCCTTGGGGACCAGATCTTCTAGAACTGGAATTAGAGATGGCTGTGAGCCACCATGTGGGTGCTGGGAATTGAACTCTGGTCCTCTGTAAGAGTACTAAGTGTCCTTACCTGCTAAGCCATCTCTCCAGCATCATCTGATATTTCAGTGCTTGTGCACACAGTGGCGCACAATGTATGCAAGCATGCAGCATGCGGAGGCCTGAGGACAGCCTGGGTGTCCTCCCCTGGAACACTGATGGCCTCCTTTGAGGCAGGGCCTCTCCCTGGCCTGGAGCTCACCCCTTTTCTACTCTGGCTGGCCACTGAGCCCCAGCCTCCTGTCTCTGCATCTAGTGCTAGGATTTGCACACAGCCATGCCCAGCAATGTCCAGGGCTCTGGGGGTCAAACCCAAGTCCTTATGCTGGTGAGGAAAGTACTGTGCTGACACCAAGCCCTACACAGACTGGTCTACTGTCAGCTGAATCTAGACACAGAGCCTGTACATATCAACTGTCAGGGGATGTTACTTAGCAAGGGAAAAAAGCTCCCGAGTCACAAAACACAGAGGAAGCTCAGGCACAAATGACTTAGCAGGACCGAACTGCCAGGGGGCATAGTGATTTTGACCCTGTGAGCAACAAGTCCGTGGGGTATGGAGACTGCCAGGTGGGGATGAATGAGGAAGAAGAGCAGGTTCCTAGAATGGAGGAAACACTGCACCACACTAAGGTGGTAGCCAAGGGTATCACACTGGTGTCCCTGAGGTGCTACTGGCTTAGGTAAAAACAGTATGTGAGCACTGGCTTCAGTTCCAATAAACACACCAGGGCAGTCATAAAAGAAAAGGCAGGAATTGAGAAGAGGGTCCTGACAGGTTTGTTCCTGATGCTGCTTTGAAAAAAAATCTACTGAGCAGGGCGCTGGTGGAGCACTCTTTAAATCCCAGCAGTCGGAAGCGGAGGCAGGTGAGTTCTGAGGCCAGCCTGGTCTACAGACTGAGTTCCAGAACAGCCAGGACCACACAGAGAAACAAAACAAACAAACAAATGCACTGGCAGACAGCAATACTACTCAGTAGGTGAGGCACTCGACAGCAAGTCTGATAATCTGAGTTCCATCCCTGGGATTCTCACAAGGGAAGACTAGCCCCTAAAGGTTGTCCTCTGACCTCCACATGTGCACTGTGGCACACATACCTCCCCCCAACATACACACAAAATTAACTGATTTTTAAAAAAAAGTCTATTGAGAAAGAAGGGTTGGCAAGATGGCTCAAGTGTTAAGAGCACTGGCTGCTCTTCCATGTCCTCACGTTTGATTCCCAGCACCCACAGAGCAGCTCACAACTGTCTGTAACTTAGTTCTAGCAGATCTCATGCCTCTTCCAGTTTCTCCAGGCACCGGAAGCGACTTTGTAAGCAAAACAAACAGAGAAAGAGAGAGAGAGAGAAAGAAAGAGAGAGAAAGCTTACTACTCAAAAATAGAAAGAAGAACAGAACATGAGACCCAACTTCAGAGTTGTGAACTCTGAGCCCAAAGTCACCCTGAGTTAGCTGTACCATGGTCCAAGACAGGTTAACACCTCGCCCTAAGATACCCAGAGCTGGGTTCGCTACTCACTCCTTCTGTCGCCCATGCCCAGAAGGCACACCCACAGTGACATGTCAATGGCTCCCATGGAACCTGGTTACTGGGGACCCTGGGCAGCAGGCATAAAGTTGGGAGTTTGGGGTGGTCTCCTCCCAATATGCTGTGGCACCATCTCCCTACTGCTCCTGATATGCCCTCTGACATTCAACATGAGGACACCCAGGACCTGAAGGCAGATGAACAACGCCAAAGACATGTGAACCCTGCCACTCTCCTCTCCTATTTTGGATACTCTTATACTTGAGGTCTGGCCTACCTGGGCCTGGGCATGCGGTCTCCCTCACAAGCAGATCTGGGTAAGCACCTCTGGGTAAAATGCACATCCCAGAGCTCTACAGTCTTCCCAGCCACCCCAGGGCCAGGACTACTGGAGGCATTCTTGATACCCCAAATACATGGGCTGGTTCTAAGAAGCCAACTCTAAGCCTGTTGCCCTGTCTTGTCCAACCCCACCTGCCAAAGATAGGGCACTTTATGTGCACTTTCTCTGTGTAGTGCTAGCTGTGGAACCTGGGTGGTGTGCACGCTCAGTGCGCTCTGGGATAAAGACACAGCCTCGCACATGCTCAGTGAGTACTGGGAAGACCCCCGAGCATCACAACGAGCTGGGGTAGCAGGCCAGCGCTCCCCATCCTCTGCCCTTTGCCTCTAGGCCCCAATGCTCACCTCCAGCACGGGCCCTGCACCCAGGATGGTCCTCTCGACGCCACTAGCATAGCCCTTCTGGCTGAGCGCAGTGAGGCAGTGGATGAGGAAGTTGGTGCTCTGTGTCTTGCCAGAGCCACTCTCACCCGAGATGACAATGCACTGGTTCACGCGCTTGCGCAACATAGCGTAGTAGGCCACGTCAGCCAGTGCAAATACATGCGGCTCCAGCTTGCCCAGCTGCTGGTTCTCATACATCTTCACATACTTGGGGTTGTAGATGGGCAGGAATTTGAAGGGGTTGATGGCCACCAGGATGCTGCCTGCGTATGTGTAGATCTTGTGCTGCATGAAGCGCAGCTTCAGGTTCTGCAGCAGGTTGGCTTCAGTCAGCTCTGGCAGGTTGCACAGGTCATCAAAGTCGGCTTGAGGCCTCGGCAACAGCCCACGCTCCACCAGGCGCCGTGCAGCTGTGGGCTGGGCCAGCAGCTGCATGTGCAGGTACTGAATGCTGCCATCGGCATTGCGCTCCTGAAGTACGAAGTAGTAGCCATCCTCCTGCGGGTGCTCATCCTGAGCGCGTCGTGGCCACAGCAGCACACGGTGCACTGGCAAATCGCTGGCATCCAATACCCACTCCTCCCCGCCTGATTCCTTCACTTCCACCAGCACGTAGCGCTTTGAAGCATCTAGGTGCAGGCTAGCTACCGCATCTCTGATGACATCGGTCGTTGTGCTATCCTTGGTGGCGGTCACGCAGCATGAGGCCTGGCTCCCAGTGCTGGACAGCTGCGGGTAGATGTGCAGGTGGTAGGCGGCCTGCTGCCGACGGCCTAAGCTGCCAGCCTCTTGCACACTCATCTTGCAGTCCTCCTGGCTTCAGCATGCCTCATTGGTGGGCATGCACCTCCTGCAACTGAAAGGGAGGCAGTGGTTAGCCTGGTGAGCACAAAGGCACAAAGAGCGCGGCAAAACCCACCAAGGCAGCTCAGACCAGAAACAATCAGCTGGTCTTGAGTGAGGACCCAAGTGTTTCCATTTACCTTTTTTCCTTTGTGGGAAACAAACAAAAAAACCCAAAGCTTCCTACAGATAAGGCAGGGCAACATCCCTGAGCCCAGCCCCTCAGTGGGGATTCTAGGCAGGGGCTCCACCCCTGAGCCATGATCCCCAGCCGCTCACTGGGGGAATCAAGGCAGGGGATTTATTGCTGAGCCATGCTCCCCCCAATCTTGAAGAAAATTATTTTTAATAAAATGCATTTACTTTTGAAGGCTGCAAAAACAAGATCAGTTAATGCTGGTAACAGCCAGTGTGATATCTTGCAGCAAGAGGCACAAAATCAATACCAGTCAAATGCAGGAGCCCACTGTGTATCAACTGAAGAGAAATGAAGCCTTTGCTTAAACACAGCTGGAAAAGCTGGTACAGAACCCCCAAAGTAAATGAAACACAGTAGAAGTAATTATCTTAGGGAGTAAAGAAGCTGTAAGACGTGTGGTAACATGAAAGAGGGGCTCTAAAGGATGAAGAGGAATTCATTCATGAGACTGACCAATAAAAAGTGGGTGTGTGGTCCTACTGCCTGTTTATAAACAATTTTTTATTCCAAGGCCAAAATCCTGTGTGTGGCTGCTTTTGCTGCAATACTAAAACAGAGTGGTCACAGGAGAGATCAGGGGCTAAAAAGCTGTTTGCTAGCTCCTCACTCTGCAGAAGTGTGACTAGGTACCACAGCCTAAAAGGCTGGACTAGCAGCTGAGAGATGACATTAGCTCTGGGATCCTGAGCTGTAGAGTGTCAGGAGGTGTGAGGCTAAAAGAAGCTCCCTGTGACAAGGTGACAGTGTTGGTTCCCATAAGCACCATGGAAATGCTCAAGGCAGACAAGACACAAGTTTCACTTTTGGGTCTTTTCCTATCCAGCAGCTGTAAGCGCATATCTTTTGGTAGAATCTGGATCATCTGAGGCTGAGGTACAGCTTTGTGGTGGGGAATTTGCCTGGTATTCCCGAGATTCAATCCCCAGATCCACAAGATAAGATATTTGGTTCAGTGCATCAGGTGCACTTGGGGGCAACACACACCTAGCAACCCAGGTACTGGGGATGCTGAGGCAGGAGGGTATGAATTAAAGGCTAGCCTGGGTAACTCAGCTAACTAACTAACTGTCTCAAACTAAAAAGTGAGGAGGGGGGCTGGGATATGCAACCAACGAAATGGAGGGCTACAGTATTTACTTCAAAGCCGCATCCAGACATTTGCTGGCTTCTAACTTTGCAGAAGTGTGACTCGGCAGCTTCAACACCCAGTGTTTCAAAACAGCAGGAAACAAACACTCAAGCAGGCAAAGCCCCAAATCCACCCAGCCCCATAGTTAGAGCCACGATCTGCAGAAAAACTCACATGTATGAATTCCATGTAGAGACCACTGTATACCTAGTGCCCAAAGAGGTCACAAGAGGGTCCTGGATCTCCTGGAACTGCATTTGCAGATAGTTGGGAGCTGCCATGTGGGTGCCGGGAACCAAACCTGGGTCCTCTGGAATAGCAGCCAGTGTTTTTAACTGCTGAGTCAATTCTGTAGCCTCCATTTCTAAATGTCCTAACTACCAAAGGCATGGTGTACACACATATATACATACAAAACACCCCCACACCAAATAAAACAAAAATAAAAAAAAAAAAAGATATTTAGACACTTCTTACTGTCTTCAGGACCAACAGCCTAAAAGCAGAAGTGCCTGCCAGAACCTGATGCTGGGCGAAATCCCTGAAGCCCACACAAAGAGCCAAATGTGACAGTGCACAGCTGTAGCTCAGAGTCCTACAGTGAGACAGGATGGGAGTTACACAGAAGCTCAGAGCCCAGCTAGCCTGGGGTACACAGTACCAGCTCTGCAAAAATGGAAGGCCGTGCCTCAGAAGCAGGCAGAGATTGGGTGGAGTGGCACATGATCGTCACTGTAGCATTTGGAAGGCAGAGGAGGGAAGGCAGAGATCATGAGTTCAAAGACAGACTCAGATACATGGCAAGTTGTAGGCAAGCTTAGGATACACAAGACCCTGTCTCAAAAAAAAAAAAAAAAAAATCAAGACAAAGAAAAAAGAAGGAAGGAAGGGGGGAAAAAAAGCAAACTGATCCCCCAGAAGTCTTCTGACCTCCAATTATGCACCATGGTAAGAGTACACTCAAGCATAAATATGTAAACACTCACATACACAGACACACACACACAGAGAGACACTGTGTTACTGGTTGACCCAGTGAACACTTTTGTTGTTGCTCTGTTTTTGGCCTGTCTTTTCAGACAGGGTCTCAATATGAGGTCCTGGGTACCTTGGAACCTGCTATGTTCCAGCCAGATTAGGCTGGCACAATTCCCAGGCTTGCCTCTGATTCCTAAACGCTGGGGTTAAAGGTGGGTGGCACCACTCTGGGCCCTGCTCTGGTTTGTTTGTTTGTAGTTTCAGATAGTTTTACACTATAGCCTGGCTAGTCTAGGTCTTGTGGCAATCCTCCTGCCTCTGCCTCCTGGGTGCTGGGGTCACACTTGTGCACCACAGGCATTTGGGGACATTTGTTTATTTTCCTATTGTGAGTGTGCACCTCTGCTACAATGCACAGGTGCACATCAGAGGGCAACTTGCAAGGGTCAATTCTCTCCTTCCACCGTTTGGGTTCTGGGGACTGAACTCAGGTCACTGTGTTTAGCAGCAAGCACCTTTACTTGCTAAGCTATCATCTCATTGGTCCCTGGAAGTTGGTTTAAATGTTTATCATTAATCCAGTAGATCCCAGGCATTCCCCATGAATGCTCTGTTTCTAGAGAAACAGAGTAAAGCCAAGTGAACATCCTCAGTGTGTTCCTAAGAGCCCTGGACTAGACACCATCACAGCATCCATAGCCAGAGGATCCATGAACTCCAACTCAGCACAGGCACAAAAGGAGCCACTAAGACATAACCACGGCACTGGAAAAACCCCAGCCCCCAAACAGTACACACAGACCTGGAAATTCTCATCTTCTACGCCCAAAAGCTCAGGAACTCAAATCCCAATCCATGAACACATACAGTGTGGCTTGCATTAAAATGCAGAAATACACCAAATGCTCTTGAATGGAAGAAAGGATAAATATAGTCCAGTCACACGGTAGAATACTACTCAGCTTTGAAAGGGAATGCTGTATTGGTACACAGTATACCATGGGTGAAGCTAGGAAACATGATATAGCTATTGTTCAGTTAGCATGTGGAGTCCTGGGCCCAGCCCTCAAAATATAGTCTGGAGGCAGTTGCACCTGTCACCCCAACACTGAAAGCAGGAGGATCAGGAGTTCAAGGACATCCTTGATTACATAGGAGGTTTGAGACAAGACTAGTCTGCATGACAAAAATAGAAATAGAAACCAACAGTGATATCCAATGTGTTACCCTGTTGACAAGAATGGCTAGAGTAAGCCAATCCACAAGGCAGGAAGCAGAGCAGAGACTGCCAGGGATGGGGTGCCAGGTCTTCCAGGGCAATGGTCAGGTTCCAGGTTGGACAGCTGTGAGGGTTGCACAAAACTGGCCCACTACCTGCTGAGGAACTGTCGCTTTCAACTGGTGACTTTTACATGACTTTAGTAAAATGGAGGCACTCAGGCCGAATGCTCCTTGTACGGAGGATTCTTTAAAACACAGCTGGCCAAACAGGAAGCTGGCTGCTGGCTGCTTCAGGGTGGTATGACGAGGAAGGTCATGAGATCCAAGAGCCTCTGACCTTGATCACAGCAGCAGGCTCATATCACAACCTACAAATGCCACACAAAGCTTCCTATGAAGCAATCATACCTTTATAGACTGATAATAGGGTGATGTGACCTTAAGGACGCCCTGGACCACAGAGGGAGGATGGCTCCACAGGTGCTGGTGCTCGCCTGACAATATAAACTGAAACTTCAAGACCCACCCCTGGCTTGAAGCAGAGAACCTATGTCCCACAAGGTGTCCTGTGACCTCCACAGGACAATAACACACACAACAAAAACATGGAAAACAAAACAAAACCCCACTGACCGAAGAGTTAGGTTTGCGAACACACACCTATCACCCCAGCAACTGGAAGGCTGAGGCAAAAGGATCCTGAGTTCTAGGCTAGCCTGGGCTACAGCTACACAGAACCTGTTCATTTAGCAAGGACAAAGAGAGTCTGTAAGCACAGCAGGGACTCAGGGGTGGGGCCTACAGCCATGCCCACCTGGCTAACTAAGAGAGTCAATGATAGAAAGTTCCAGGTGGTGCCACCAGAGTTCAAGAACAGTTTTTGTAAGGAACACAGGAACTCAAACTGAATTCTACACCCTTTTCAGTCACACCCACCCACGTGCCAATAGTCATTCACTGCTCACAGATTTGCAGTAAAAAACGGCCTGCAGATACAATAGAGAACCCTACACGAGATCTATCGATGGTGTAGCTGTGTTAGAGTGACATTTGACAAATGATAACAAAGACCAATGATGAGTACTTAAAAAACATTTGTCAAATGACACCTGTCTGCACACTGCTTATGAACCCACAAGTACCAATACTGAGTCTACATGCCCCCATGCTCACATCTGCACAAACACATGCACATAAATACATACATGAACACACATGCCCTGTGCACATAAGCTGGGCATAAGCTCATACAAACATGCCCTCACGCAAGCCCCTCCACACCTTTGCATGAGCCTATACACATCTACCCTTGGGCCCATGACCAACACTGAAGAAACATGGCCACAGCCAGGCTCAGAGAAAACTACCCCTCCTAGGAAATGTGTTCTGGGAGGTGGCCCCAGGGTGCATGCATGTCAACTACCGCCCAGGTCTCTGGACTGTTTGCCACCAGGCTGCAAACAGGTAAGCAAATGTTATACTAGAG